CAATTTTACATTGTCAAATTGAGCAACTCAATACTTGAATATGTGTACTTGGCTCCACGGATTTCAACTTTAAATTCCAATATTCACAGAATCTTTGATTAGGTTATGATGTGTTGTGATGTTTTACTTGCCTCTAAAAAGGTTTCCATCTCTTGGTGATAATTTGGGATAATGTAGCAGATTATATAGTATACTGATAAACACTCTTCAATATGCTTAGACTGCAGTACCCTTATGTGGGATGTATAATTTATTAATATTATTTGATCTGGTGAAAGGGAACAGGTAGTGCGTGAACATGTTATGCTTTCCACTATTTTTTGGCGTTATATTCTTATTGGTAACTACGATCTTTCTTTAGTTGGAATCTTCAATGTGATTATAAATTTATATTACATTCAACAAATGCCAATCAAACTAAACTCTTAAAGATGTATTGAGATGCATATTTGCAGTTTGATTGTAGGTCTGAACATAAATCTATTTATGATCATTGTTTCTAATTTTTGTCAAATTGAAATCTAGTGCTTTCAATCAAGATCTAATTTATGTCTTTCTTGTTTTAATTTTTTTATCTTTAGTGCAATATTGCAAGTAGAGTTTACATTTCTTTCTACCTTTAATGTTATTTTACCCAGTTTAAAACCAAATGGAAATTGAATTCCCTATAGCTGAAGGAACTCACTAATTTTGCTAATATTTTGGAGATAATTTCGCTGATAAATTGATCCCCAGTTATCAGCAACGGAACTTTGCTTTTCTGTGTACTTTTATGTTTTGCGGGTCAAGAACTGATGTCCCTGGTTCTCCTATATCGTACATATTATATATATTTGTTTTCTCACCTATAATCCTGAAAATGAAATTATGTGGTTAACCGAAGCTAATATGAAAATGCTATTCCTGAAATTTCCCTCTATTATCGTCATTCAAGTCTCTTTTGAATAGTATACTGTGATTTTGCCAGCATTCAATCTGATACAACAAACTTCTTCTGGTTACCATTATTTCCAATAGGAATCTGATGCTGTGAAAACTGTTGTTTCTGTCTGGCCCTTCTTTGTTTTCCTTCTAAAGGTGTGTTCTGATGGGGGATATGGGGGAGAAGGGAAGGTTACCTTGAAATCTCTTCCCCATTTGGAATTTGCTATGAAAAAAAGAGGGGGAGGGAGGAAGACGGGGTTTTTGTGCGTGTTGGGGGAAGGAAAAAAGGGGGAGGGGGTCAACCAACCCTCCGAAGTCTTTCACAGTTCTCTCTCCTTTATGATTTTAAGCTCTCCCATTTTGGGGTTTCGTTGGAGGAGGAGTTTTTCCTGAACAGAGGAGAAAACTTTTCCTGAACAGAGGGACGGATGAATGAAGGTTGACCCTTCAATGTCTTTCACAATTCTCTCTCTTAAAATTTTAAGTTCCTCCAAGTTGGGGGATCTTGGAGGAGTAGGTTTTCCTTGAACAAAGGGAATGAAACGCCCATTTAAGCTTTCCTTTTCATTCATTCTTTTCCCTTCCCTTTTGATTGGATTCCAATCCCTTGCCTTCCCAATTCCCATCTGCGTCTACTGAATCAGCTATGTTGCCACGCATCTTATGGCAGGTCAAGTGGGGGGAGGAGCTGAAGGCTAAAGAGGAAGCCTTAGGATTAGTTGAGGAGGAGCAACGCGCTAAGGAAGCAGCGGAGGCTAATAATAAGAGGAACCATGAAGCTTTGCGCCTGAAGATAGAGATAGATTTCCAGCGCCACAAGGATGATCTCCTAAGACTGGAGCAGGAGCTGTCACGCTTAAAAGCATCTGCTCTGTCTGCTGAGTTTCAAAATCAATTAAATGCTTCACCTGCAAGTGAGTCTGAAGGTGCAAAGCCCCAGAGAGAGACAATTGCTAAGCTGCTTCAAGAATTAGATAAACTGCAGGCTTTTTCAGATAAAGAAGTAAACTCTGATAGGGAATGCATAATATGCATGAAAGATGAAGTCTCTGTTGTTTTCTTGCCTTGTGCCCACCAAGTTATGTGTGCTACTTGCAGTGATGAGTATGGGAGAAAGGGCAGAGCTGCTTGTCCTTGCTGTCATGTTCCAATTGAGCAGAGGATTCGCGTATTTGGGGCAAGTTCGTAGCTGATAGTTTTTTTTAATATATGCTATGAATTTTCATACTTGTCCTTTATCTTACATTGCATGCTGTGAGGCGTCAGCATAAATCGGGATTTATGTAAATAAAAGCCTAGTCCTGGCGCTAGCTCGCCTCCTGGAATATCTCAAACTCGTGTTTGGTTGCTGCTGAAAATAGGAAATAAATATGTCCATTTTTTCCCCAAAAAACAAGGTCGACCTTTTGATGCTTGTATGAATAACTACGGCAAATGGAGAAAATACGAAGGTGACGCTTCATGCATAGCTCCATATTTGAGAAAAATGAGCCATTGAAGATTACTTGAAGCAGTTTGCCTTGGCTTTCAGGTATGCTTGCAGTTCTGCAACTGCATTATATCAAAAGGGTGTTTGGAAAACCATAGAAGTATTTTAAAAAGTATTTTTTTTTATGAATTGAGATAAATTTTTTTATATATTTATTTTGTATACTATAAATTACATGGTTTCGTTTCCACTCAAATATCCTCAAAATGCCATGTGAATGGCCTTTTCTTGGACATAATTAGCATTTTGGATTTTTAAAAATTACTATTCATAATAATTAGTAATTCGTCCTGCTCAATGCATGAGCTAGCTCGTTTATATCACGAATCAAATGGTCATACACATCCGAGTATTGAGGTCTGAGTCTGAGGATTTGCCCTTAAGAGGATTTATTCTCTTTTGAAAACTTTCTACTTATCAATCATGAATTAATCAAACACCCCCCATCTACCTATATATTCATATATAAAAACATAATTGCATGCGTGTCAATAGGACATTGAAGTGGATTTTCGCGAATATTTTATACTTTTCTCATAGGGACGATCAATCTCGCTTGATAATGCCTAGGAGTAATAATTTTTATAGCTGGCACTTGTCTAAATTGCCTTTCTATGAGTAGGAATCCCTTGTTTTGAGAAGCATGTATGAGCAATTCCAAACCTTGAACATATGATATTTATCCTCAACAAGGCCAACATCAGGTGGTAAATAGTACCGAAGAGAATTCGGCTTGTTCAATTATTGTAAAACTGGAGAGATTTTTCAAAGCACTTCTATAACGTCCACAAACTAAGGGTATGTTTGATTAGCATTGAGCAAAACTGACTTTTAATCCATCTGACTTTTGTAACTGAAGTTAGAATAAAAGTCAATTAGTGTAATGCGGTTTATGTTTGGATATGTGCTTTTAAAAAGTCAGTTGAAAAAATTAAAAATTGTTTGAATGATCAATAGAAAAGTTAGTTTAGTTGTAAAATGACTGAAAAGGGCATGAAGTAGTATTTGAAATTTTATGTTTTTAATGTGATAATAGTTTAAAAAACACGTAAAATTATTATGATAAAATATAAATAGTTTATTTGTGAAATTATAAAATAAAAATATTTGTTATGGAGAAAAATTTGAAAGCACATTGTAAATAATTAATTAAATATACATAATAGACAAACATGAATATAAATTAAAATTCATTTGGTCTCTAATTAACGTAAATGGAATCACATAACTAATTAGATCGTAAGCTTTGTACAATTTTTTCATAAGTGAGTTAGAAAAGTTAATCCAGATTGCGTTGGATAAGTTAGTTAGAAAAGTTACTTTTTCCCATAAGTCAGTTAGAAAAGAAGCCCCATCCAAACAATCTTCTGAACCACAATAAGCCACAAACCTTAGTTTCACGCTTCTCTGTGTGCTTTTACCATCTGCAACCGCAATCCAAATGAGGCCTAAGCCATTGAAGAAGGAATACAAACCCAAACCTCTACCCAAAAAAGAAGAAATAAGAAAAAATGACCCAAAAAAAATGAAAATTACAAAATATTAAATAAGAAATATTAACAAAAATTTATTGTGATTTACAAATTCAATATTATCAACATTAAATAAGATGTTGATAGCAAGTCGAATTTCAAATTTAGTAATTTTTACCTTCTTTTTTATTATTTTCCCGAGAAATAAAACCCCTCATCCCAAAAGAAGAAATCCAAAAAGGGAAGTTCATGAGAATAGCAAAGAGGGGCAGGTGGCAGCTGAAAAATAGTGCCACGTGGCCAAATAGAAGACCGATAAATTTAGTTGGAGGAGTTCAGAAAGCACGAGAGAACCGTTCTTGTATACAAAAATATCAACCCGGCTGTTGTGAGAACAAGTACTGTTAATAACAACAAAAATAATTTCACAAAAAAAAAAGGTGTAACAACAAAACTAATCAAAAGACGACGACTCTGAATCTCTGATTCGTAAAGTTAACAAGAACAACAGTCACACGGTTCCTTTGGTTGGCAATGTCCATTAATTGCTCGTATGGTCCATTTTTCATTTCATTTCCCGTGAACCTCAAGATCTGATTGATCTCCACTAAGTTAGAAAAGCAAGTGTATTTTAATTTCAATCCAACGAGACTCCCAAAAAAGTTGGAGACTACTTAAGTGATCTATTTGTTGAACTGTATCACCATCGTACCTCTGTGTACATAACCCGTGATGTTCACCGTCATATATGTTATAAAGGTCATTATTGTTCTCCTTATACCGAAGGTGATCACAGAATTATAAATATGCTCATGACAAGTTCTGTAACAAAATTCCAGCCATTTATTTAGCCACCCCACGATTTACCAGCAGATTACAGTAAGTTTCTGACCACTCTTATCAAACCTGTATTGTAAAAAAAAAAATCAGCATGTTGTGGTTAGATTTCTGCTATAAGTTGACTTCCGAGACTTGAGAGAGAACTTTCTCACCTTAAAGTGGTGTGTACTTTAATGGATTGCATGTGAGTGCAAGAATGACATCACCCTCTCTTTCTAACACGCCAATATAAAGTTCACACATGCATGTTGGAGAAGCTTGGGATTCTTGACGCATCTAGACTCCCCAGAAGAAGAAAATAATATTACTGTTGCCATTAAGTTTTGCAGGGTGTGAAGCAGAGGAAGAGGAAAAATGGTGGCAAAGTTAGTTAATGCAGGATTGGAAATGGCAATGGGCGAGAAAATGAAGAAGAAGATGAACAGAATTGGTGAGAAGGCGAAGAGGTTTCCAAGCATGGCCTGGAAAACTACGTGGAAAGTTGGACGTGAAGATCCCAGAAGAGTGGTCCATGCACTTAAAGTGGGTCTGTCTCTAACTCTCGTCTCTTTGCTCTATCTTCTTGAACCACTCTTCAGAGGGATTGGCCAGAACGCCATCTGGGCCGTCATGACCGTCGTTGTTGTGCTTGAATTCACTGCAGGTCACTTTCTGTTCTTTGTTTCTTCTGCAACTTCTCAAATTTCTTTTTTATTAGTTCTGCATGATCAAATTTACGTAGACTTTATAATATGTCAGGTTTTCTACTGAATCCTAGCTTCTTCATTGATAAGACAAAAGTTGATGGGAATTAAGATTGGGTTTGCAGGGGCAACATTATGCAAGGGGCTGAACAGAGGGTTGGGGACACTGTTGGCTGGATTATTAGCATTTCTTTTAGAGTATATTGCAGAAGCCTCTGGTCGGATCTTTCAAGCTGTTTTCATTGGCGCTGCAGTTTTCTTTATAGGTAATATACATATACGTATACATACATATATATATATATATATCATGCTCTAAAAGTTTAAGAGTTCTAATGGTGATGATCAGGAGGGAGTAAGAGATTCTCTGAAAACTGATAGCTTTCTGAGTTCAAATGTTCATGCTAACTAGTGACTCTCCTCTTTGTTTTGATTTATCAGATTTTGTTGGCCACGAATGGCAGGGACTACTTTCTCTAGAATTTGTTGAAATTGTATAAATTTAGTCTTTCTTTCTTAGAATATGCATAAATCTTTTCCGTGAATTACAAAAAGAAAATTACACCTGCCTCTGTTTGAATCTTTACCAATAGTAAATTACACCCGACTTTTATTTTATTTTTGAAATTTACACAAACTTCTTAGCCAGATTATAAAAGGTGATTTTGAAAATATTTTCATATAAGATAAGTCAAATTTAAATATAGGGTAGATGTGTATGATTTTAATTGAATTTAAATATCTTTTTTTTTTTTATCAATTTTAAAGATAGAAATAGTTTTTATGTAATTTTAATAAATTTTTTAAAATATTATAATTTACTTATTATATTACCTTAATCAATTGGATTAATTGCACATCAAGTTCCAGAGTAAAGAAAACCAATGGTCAACTACCTATACTAGAAAAGTACAAGTTTAAAAAAAAAAAAACGAAAGAAAGAAGTACCTAATTTTTGTATACTATATCTATCCTGATTATAAGACACGATTTTGAAGGATTTGATGTCCCTATATAAAAAGCATTTTACAAAGTTTTAGAAGTAATAAAAATTTTTTTCTTGAAATGCTCACACCTTGTAAATTTTTAGAGATAAACTAATTTCTCAACATCTGTGAATTAAATAATTATAATTTAAAATGAGCAGTAACTATATATTTGTGAAAGAAGCTGTATTTGGTTTATGAATAATGCTTTTACTTACTGCTTCTAGTCTTTAATATAAGATCTTATTTAATTTTTATTTTGATCTTAAACATAAGATTACAATCCACTGTGTCTCTCATATTTATACTTTTTTTTTCCAAGGTAGTCCTTCTAATAATAGTAATTCTAGCTAAAACTTTTGATTAGCAAGAATATTTTAGGAAAGATAATATATATTTATTACAAATAACTAATTTAACTTATTTTCTTAATCTCCTCAAATTAGTCAACTAGCTTTTATATTTAAGATTAAAAGTAATATTTATTTACATTTGTATATTATTAACATAACTTGCTATTTCGCATGCAACCCTGGAAACAGAATTATAGTTTATATTCATTTGAAATTAAATGGTTTTTAATTTCCATCAACCTTCTCATCAACAGGAGCTGCGGCAACATACATGAGGTTCATTCCTTACATCAAGAAGAACTATGACTACGGCGTAGTCATATTCCTGTTGACCTTCAATTTGATCACCGTGTCAAGCTATCGTGTGGACAATGTCATCAAGATTGCCCATGATCGTTTCTACACCATCGCCATTGGCTGTGCCATTTGCCTTCTCATGAGTCTCCTCATCTTCCCCAACTGGTCCGGCGAAGACCTCCATAAGTCCACCGTCTTCAAGCTCCAGGGCCTCGCCGATTCCATTCAGGGTACCCTACCTACCTACCTACCTACCTTCTCCTTTCCTTTTTCTTCCATGTCTTAGATTCATCATATGAATTTATCCAAATCTTGCAGCTTGCGTTAATGAGTACTTCAAAGACGGTGTGATTCATGAAAATCATGAGGACATTAAATCTTCATCCGAGGATCCTATTTACAATGGTTATAAGGCTGTTTTGGATTCCAAATCCACTGATGAAACACTGGTAATTTTAACACAAATCCATCACATGTTTAGAGAGCAGAAACCCCATTTTGAGATCATTCTAAATCCTCGTTTCTGTTGAGTTGAGCAGGCATTGCATGCAAGTTGGGAGCCGAGGCATTCAAGGTACTGTCACAGATTTCCATGGCAGCAGTATGTGAAAGTAGGAGCCGTTCTTCGCCAATTTGGGTACACTGTGGTAGCCCTCCACGGCTGTCTCAGAACAGAAATTCAGGTATTGCATTTAAGTAATCACGCATGAACCAGAAAGTTAGTTTTTTTAGTCTTGGAAAGATTCACTGCAAAGTTAGTGTTCTAGTTGAGAAGTTTCGATTTCAATTTGTGTTTTTCAGACTCCACCGTCTGTTCGAGCCATGTTCAAAGACCCCTGCAAAAGGGTGGCGGCAGAGGTATCAAAAGTACTGATAGAACTTGCCAACAGCATCAGGAACCGGCGCCACTGCTCCCCGGAAATACTCTCCGATCATCTTCATGAAGCCTTGCAAGACCTCAACACCGCCATAAAGTCCCAGCCTCGGCTCTTCCTAGGCTCCGACGATAGCAGGACCACCAACATGCTCGCCGCCGCCGCAGCAGCAGCATCACAGAAAAAGCCCGGGAAGAAGAACTCATCAGGAGTGACATTATCAAGTGTTAAAACTGATTCTTCTGCCTTGCTTGAATGGAAGAACAAGAGGGCTAGCGCTGAACAATCCAAGGAAGCATCAGAGCGAAAGACTTTGAGGCCCCAGTTGAGTAAAATCGCCATTACTAGCCTCGAGTTCTCTGAGGCTCTTCCTTTCGCTGCTTTTGCTTCGTTGCTTGTGGAGACCGTCGCAAAATTGGATCTTGTGATAGAGGAAGTTGAAGAACTTGGGAGGTTGGCGGGCTTTAAAGAGTACAGACCCGATGATGAGATCGTCGTCACTTGTGAGCAACCCCGGCTTGACGTAACTCAGAACCACTTACCATCTCATGGAGTGGACTAATTTGGAGAGAGACCTTAGGAAGTGTATTCTATTCATTGACATGAACAACGATGATGATGATGAGTTTCAGATATATATGATCAATCACTCGACTGTTTGAATAACTCTATAAACTATAAGATGATGTAACCAGATTTAGTTAATCTGCTAGTAATAGGAAATTGCATATCACAGTTGCCATCAAAGGCCAGCTCAATAAATTCCTTTCACAATTTTCAGAAAACAATATCTTTCTCAGAGATACAGAGTAGGCTAGTCTTTCTATGGATGACTATCTTTTGAAGATCAAAATGAAGATTGTGACCCTTTTATCAATTCAGTATCATTAAGATTATATCCTGCCTAATTACAGATATTTACTGTTATTGGCTCAAGAATCAAGGTTTCAAAAGCATTCAGAGGCTGTAGATCAGATGACTGCTGATCCAGCAAATCTCAATTGAAGAAAAATAGAAGCATCAATGAGGTGGAAGAGTTTTCACTGGTGGCTGAATGGGATGAAGAGCTTGAGTCTGAAAACAGAAAAAGCCAAAGCTGTTAGTAATGTGATAAACTTGGCCACATTATTTGAACTTGCTATTACAGATTGGACCATAAATTCAACTTCCTACAATCTCATTAACAGGTTAATCAGTTTGGGAGTTGCAAATCCAACAGACAAGGGCGAGTTATGGTATCTACTTCTGATTCAATGGGGGATTCAGGCAAGTATTCATGCTTGGTGCCAGAAATCATACTTGATGATATTTCCTTTTTGCATATTAATTCAAATGGACATTTTGCAAATCCGTTTTCCTAAAAATGACTCTTCCCTTGTCCTGTACGTTTGGACTTCAAACACCAGAATGAACTTGCTGAGAATTTCACCCCAGTCTTTGACATGTGAAAGAGGTAGGTATGTAGAACTCTTACCGGAGGGAGCCTCAGTGAAGGATTATATATATGCCTGTTGATTTTTGAGCAATCATCTCAGCGAATCCAGCTCCTGCTTCAGCGCCTCAGATTCCAATTATTTGTTCCGGCCAACAAAACAAGGTTCCTACCATTTTCTCATCAAATAAATGTAAATTCAACTCAGTTACAGGCTGCGGATTTGTCTTCCGTTTTCTTCCTTAATAGGTTAGGCCATCCCTCCTTTAATACTGTCAAAAGTGTATTCTTCTGACATTGCAATTCCCAATTAGTAATCAAATTCAGTCTTTCTTTTGCAGACCTTCTTGTCGTAGTAAATCACATAATCTCCCATTTTCCAATATACTACTGTTTATTCAAAACCTCTTCAGCTGATAGATAGTGCTATTTCCAGGCCCTCACCAATGAAATACAAACGTTATTCATGGATTCATCCTAAAAAATATGCATTCAAATAAGTTGAGTGTTTGTTTCTAGTTCTATGTCTGCCTTTGCTAGTTTTTTCAAGAACCTACCACTCTATCAACTTGGTTTCCTTCACAATCTCTTCCATCTGCACTTTCTCCAATAACTCGTGAAATGTTGAAAGTGAAAATTTTTTGTTCCATTACTTAACTCTGCTTCTACTTTGAACTCATAAGGAGCGTGTTCTACCAATTTTTCATCTGGACAAGACTTTGATGCTTGGCTCTGTTGCAAATGGTGCAACTCTATTACAAACTACTCTGGGTTCTGACTTTGATTATTTAATTCAGGGATCTGGAAACGCCTCCATTCCAGCTGAATCACCTTTTCCAGCTTCTAAATCTCAACTTAGCATTAATCCATCTTCAACTACGGGTGTCAGGCTGAAGTTGGATCCCTCACAATCTGGCTGCTAAAAATTTGGTTGGTTGTCCAATAAGCTCCATCTTCTCTTCTACATTCTTTGTTATCTTTGTACTTGAGATATTAAAAATAAGTGATAAAGGCTTGAAGGGTCAGAGATTAGAGAAGATGGTGCTGAGGCCATGCTCTTGGATTAGTGTGGTGGAAGGCGCTCTAGTGGGTTTTACCATAGTTGTGCCCTGATGTCACCTCTCCGAGGATGAGGCACAAAACTACATATATTTGAATAAAATTAAAGAATAATAAAAGTAAATATATTAATTTGGGAGAAAAAATTTAATGTGAATTTGGGGGTGAGTTTCAATACAAAGGGTGATCATTAACCGAGACAATAGTAATGTTAGACAATGCAGTTTGACTTATGACCACAGATGACGATGCATTGAATGTACATTTCAACAAAGTCAACATTCTAATTGATTTCATTCCCAACAGTCAACATTCTGCGTCCACGCTTATGGCTTTTTAATTTCACCCTCAAAAGTCAACGTTTGTGCAGCAAAAATTAATACTACCTCGGATTCTTAACAAAAAAAAGAAACTAATTGGTTAATTTGAATAAATCAAGAAAATTAGTTAGATTAATTATTTATAATAAATATATGTTGTTTTTTTTAAAATATCTTTACTAATCATGTGTATTAGCTAGAATTATTATTTGATGAAATTTTTAACATGTACAACTATTGCAAAAGCTACCTTGAGGGAAAAAAAAAGATAAATATGTGAAATAAAGTAGATTAAGATCTTATATTTGAACCAAATTGAATGTTAAGCAAGCTCTTTTATTAAGTGAAAGAGACAGTAATGTGATCCCACAGCTCGTGTGCGCCCAAAGACTCATCCAATAAACTACATCCTGCATTCATCCATTGGCTTTGTCTTTTCTAATTAATCACATTATTTTAGCTTCATTCTAGGCTCATGCAAATTACTAATAATATTAGTGTAAAACCCTTTAAAATCTCAAAGATCAAATTTAGAGTTAATATAATTTTTAGTTCCTCAAATTTATACAAATTTTAATTTCAATCTATCGAGTTTCAAACTATAAGTTTTGGTCATGGAAGGGACAAAATGCTTTATGTTTTCATTAAATTATAAGAATCAATATTTTAGATGGAAAAAAACTTAAGAGACCAAAATTTATGATTTTAAATTTAAGAGATCAAAATTAAAATAAGAACAAATTTGATGAACTAAAAATTGTATTAACGCGTGAATTTGAAATCAATACTTTCTTTATATGTATCGGAACTTCGAAGGGAACACTACTTAATGCACCTGAAGATAACTTGTGTAACATACTATTTTTTTTCAAAAAATTGTAATTTAAAAAAAATATATATATGAATAAATAAAATAATATCTTATTATTATTTAAAAAAAAAACCCACCCCCTTTTATCAACAGTGGAAACGTGGGTGGCAGTGTAAAGAAAGTTGAAAAAGGGGAGGAGTATTAAATGGAGGAAGAAAAAGAAAGGAAGAAATGGATGAAGAAAGAATGTTAGGAGAGTGTTAAATGAAGAAGGAAGAAAATGGAAGGAGGATGGTTGGAACATGAGGAAAAATAGAATAAAAAAGAAGGGGGAGACGGGAAAGAAGAAGAGAGCGGGAGAAGAGAAAGAGAAAGCGGGAGGTAGAGAGGAAAATTAAGAGAAAGTGAAAGAACGTGCTGTCCAGAAAATAAAATAGGATTTAAGAATCATTTAGATACACAAATATTTTTTTTAATCAAATTTTCTTTTTGAATATTTTCCATATATTTAGAGCTTCATATTATTAGTTTTATTATAATGTTTAAAGAATTTATAATTTGAGTATGGAGTAAATAGTGAGTTTTAACAATATAAGACTGTAGAAATATAAAGATACATTATTAAGAAATTTTAATCAGTTTATATTTATTTAATGATTGTTTTGAGAATTTTAAATTAAGATTTTAGTTGAAAATTTTGTTATTCAATGATATATAGAATGTTTTTACCGATTAAATTTAAGTTAAATAATTTATTTGAGTTATTTAGTATATTATTAAGATTTTAATCGGTTTGAGTATTAAATAGGTTAAAGATATGTATTTGAAATCAAATTTTTTGAAAGCTTCAAAAATTGTAAATTGAGAATTTTATGAAATTAGATAAAATTACAGTTTATTTATAATTCAAAAGAGTTGTTTGGTTTGAGAAAAATTTTAAATGAGACTATAATAAATAATTAAGATTTTAATATGAAATATTTATATTTTTGGGTAATAAAAAATATATTTACTTAAGTTATTAAATGTAAATAGTCTTATTTGTAAATTATATTGTCAAAATAATATTATATCCATTATAAATACCAAATCTGGGAGAATTAATATATTTATGTAATTTTAGTTTAGAGAGTAGTCTTAGAATTTTAGAGTAGTTTTGGAGTAGTTTTGAGTTTTTATTAATAAATATTTATGTGTAATTTTGTAGACTCTTGAGAATTTTAGAGTAATCTTTGTGTGAATATTTATAAGCTAAAGAATACCAGGTAACTCTGAAAATTCTTTCATGTACATGTGAATTGCGTATGATTATATCATGGATTTACTATTTTTTTATATCATATTATGATTTTTCAAATAAATATTTTGATACGTCACTTGATTTTGTTAAGATTTATTGCTATTAATTATAATTTCTATTTAAATATATTGATAGCTATGGAATTATTATGAGTTGCTGTTAAATGGTATAGAAATTTTATTGCTATCTTATTTTTTATAACATATTTGAGGACGTGTTTATAATGTAACATTATTTACATATGACATATGCATTGTTGAGGTAAGAATAGAAGGAGATTTGTATGGATATAAATTACCACGTGGTATGCCATCACTCGATACACAGTGGATGGCACTTGCCAAAGCCCCTTCTTCTATGTTTTCCTTTGGCTGGGAATTCATTGAAGCTGTGAGACATGTGACACCTTCTTATTTTATTGCAAAGGAAGGGAGCCATAGTCTAAACTTGAACTCTATATCTTTGGCCGGATATACCTCCAGTATTGGTGAGCTTGGAATAATTCAATAAAATGGATTAGTTCCTATTGGACTATGTGTTAGCCTATGACTCCAGTCAGTGGTATAAGGGGGGACAGTGATACAAAGGAGGTTGCATATTGCATTATTTTTGGATATATTAGAAAAATGATATTGGTGTATTATTAAATCAAAAATGAAATTGAGTTGAATGTATAAATCCATGATTTTCATATATAAATATATATATACATATAAACAAATTTTTGTTTATCATATATGGTTTACTTGTATATGTTAGAATTTCAATAGTTACTAAGACGTTTGATCTCATCCCCTATCGTAACATTTTTTTTAAGTGAAGGATCTAGTAAGAATCAAGGCATCGATAGAGTGAGCCATGACGGTTTCTGTGCTCCTTAAGCACATGCTATGTTATATTAAACACATGCTTCAGTAGCTACTTCGATCATTTATTTTGTTATGTCTGAAAATGCTTTGAAATTATGACTTGTTTGAAGTGTTGGATATACATATGGATTTTTAAATGAAGTATTTTATCGTGTACGTGGATATAATTATGTGAGGTGTTACAATTTGAAGAGATATTCACTGTATGGTTCCAAAGGAATTTAATTATCAAAAAATGTCATAACGAGTGAATCATAATTTCCAGCGCAAGAAATGACAATAAGATTCAGATCAGACCTCAGTTATTTTTCATAATTTGAATCCACGAATGCCAGAAGATAGCCATTTTAGATGACCTAGAGTTTCATCAACTACGCGTGGAGTTGCATAGTGCAAATTAATGGAATCAGAATGTGACATTCCCATTACTAAATGCATGGAGGATCCATCTAAATCAAGCAAGCTGGAATGATCGTCCATAAGTTGACTTGCGTGAACTTGGCACTAATGAGGAACCGAAAGGAGCATACAAACAGCGACGAGGACAAGTTTGTCCTGCTCCCACGGCGTTTTACCCACTTCCCCATGACAAAATTTCCATAGCCTCTTCTATAATTGCAATCCCAACATGCACTTCTTTGTCTTTTTATTCTTTTTGGTTCATTCTATTGGACATTTCTGGAGATTAATTAGATGTGAGCCCCTGAATTGCACAAAATCCAAAATAAGGATACTGATCCCAATGGTCTTGCAGCCTTGTTAGTAGAATATCATGAGTTCAATCTCGCTTATAAGCTGTTAGTTATTGTTCCTCTAATTCAAACAAAATAATAACATCAATGCAAACTTAAGCATGCGATCTTTACATTGAGCAACATTAGATGTTATGGCGTTTCTTAAATTGGTTGTTCTCTGATTTCAATACCAAGCTTTTGTGGAGAGTGTTCTTGTTTTAGGTAAACTTTTTCTTGAAAGAAAGACAATTATATTATTAACTAAATAAAACGATACATAAAAAAAGTTCCAACAACTAACCTACCAAAATAAGCAATTGTGAAGCTCAAGCACAGATATCAAGAAACAAAAAACAACGAAAATAAAAGGCTTAGCAAACAAACTACAAGAAAAACACAAAAACAAATGTATCAAAACTAAGTTTCAAAGATGTGAAGGAGGGTTAACATAAGATATTTTATATCTTAATATAATTATAATGATTTTACACTTGTTCATGGTGGCTTCACAAACCAATCTCCATGACAAGTCTGCTTCACAGCGCGCCATTACAGAAAAAGGAAAAGAAGCAGGAATGATTAGTTTTTGAATTTTCATGTCAACAGTCTATGAATGCCAAATTGTCGTTTTTGCCTTCCCATCAATGTGAACGCAAATATCGGAGTTAGTGGCTTTGATCAGAAATTAAAGCTAAAAACGATTGTTATATATTCTTGGACCGCCCAAACCCAAAATATCAAAATAGTAACAAAGGAAAATTCAAGGGTTTGGTTTCTTTTGCCTTTCCATATTTTGAAAGAAAAAAGTGGCAATACATGCGTGCAATCTTTATCATTGATTTGACAAATTTAAAACTTATGCCACGAGCGGGAAAAGAAACATATCATTGTTAAAGTCGAAACAGAAAGCAACAACTTAGATACCCAAGATATATAGGCAATGATTGATGATGGTGATGATGATATAGGAACTTGCATTCACTTTAAAAACGGAGTTGTATTATTATTGATCATTTACATTAAAAATTACAGATAGAAGCCAAATTATGATTTTAAAAGTGATTTTACAGTATATGAAATAAATGTGTGAGAGGAGTTTTGTATCAATTTTGTATAAAAGAACTTTTAAAAAGTACTTTTATTATAAACCAAACACCCCCTAAGTGTAATGAACATTTCAAATTTTATAGCACCTTGTTGTGTACTTGTGTCAGTCTTAATACTATGATTTGTCAATGTCTATTGTTTAATTGACTCTTAATGAAATTCACAAAATTTTAGATAAATATTAAAGGGAGAATGACAAAAAAACCTGAAAATTATTAAATCTCAATTCAAGTTTGTTAACAACAATTTATTTGGTATTGATAATATTAAATTTATAAATGATAAGAAATTTTTGTTGACATTCTTTATTTAGCATTTATAATGTTTTAGCTATTTTTTTTTTTGTCATTTTTCCAATATTAAACCTGAGAGCATACTAGTTCCTGAAATAGGAACTTTTTCCCTCTATTAGGATTCGATATTAAGATCTCATATACATAAAGATGATTATTACAGAACTGTGCTTTTTCACTAAACCCTGAACTTAAAAAGCATAGGTTAACGTTCTACCTAACGACCCCTGATCTTTTGCGAAATCCCACAAACTAATAATAATCATATGCGAGTAAAACGCATAAAGGTAAATAAAGCATACTAAATCAGCTGCTAATTAAAGCAAGCCTTTATTTTAGTTTCTGTTTTTTGTTTTTTAACTTTCACCCTTTTAGCTTTTGGTGAGACGCAAGCAAGATATTCCATCAATTACCCAAGATTTTGATTGAGCAAACAATGACTTGTTGGTCCCATTAATAGTGGTTTGGAGGGAGCTTTACTGCATTAACATCTTTTTCACGAGAATTGAGGAGGGAGGAATGAGTTCTGAAATGTTCCAAAACAAAAGTAAAATCACTAAGCACTTTTCTGAAATTACTTTTTTGGTGACGCAATCAGCAGTGAATTTTTAAAAAAGAAAGTTAAAGTTGTTTTGTCTGACTCAGTAATGACGTGAAAGAAACCTGGCGACAATTGCAGCCCCAAGAAAGAACAACTTCCCGCACTAATACTTGACTTCCTTACACTAACTTGTCCATGTACGCATTTTTCCCATGCAAAACAAAATTATATTTGTTAGGAAATATTTAAATATTGATCCCATGGCAAGTGGGTGACTCATATGGGTATAAGCAGGGGAAATTTTCTATAAGATTAAAAAAAAAAAAGGAATCTAATCACTAAAAAATCTAATAACAAGTGAACAGTATGAATTTACAATTTACAATTATTTTTTATATTGAAAGTTTTCATTATGTGCTGCTTACTGTTTATAAGATTTTTTGGTGATTACATTACTTACTCAGGATCTTGTAGTATAATGGTTTATGAATAGTAAAAGCTTGACATTGTCACCTGACCTAGAAGCTCTTTATAGGCACCAAACTTTTGTTAACATCCTTGGTGTGAATTGGTTCATGTGGTGGGCCACTTAGTTTGGAATTTTGGGGTGCACAGTGCACACGAGGCAAGCAATCTCAAACTTTCGGTGTATCATGTATATGTTTTTTTGGACTGCTGATTCCCTTGCCCAATGATAACACTATATATATGATTAGGGCCTTTGATTTTACTCTTCATTCTCATTCTCTTCTTTTGTTAATTTCTAGAAACTATTTCAGTTTCTTGCTGAGCATTCATAATAGCGTCCACCTTTAGGATTTCTGTCAAGTCTTTAGATTTGTTCTCATTCTTTTTTCTTTCAAGAGCCTTGCAGGGACTGAGTATTGAGGTAGCCTGCCATTAGAGAGACCTTGAATTTCTGCCAGACCATGATTCTGACATGTAACGGGTCATACTTGACTCTGGACAAAAAACACAAAAAGCTCGTATTTTTGGATCTTTCACATTTTTATTACATATTCTCCGGCTACTTAGCAGCACTTCATATTGCATTCCTTTTCTCTTTCTCTTTCTGAAGTTTTGGGTGAGTTTCCCTTTCTTTGCCTTTGTTTTTTGTGGGTTTTCACTTTTTTAGTGAGATAAAAGTAAGAACCAGAGAAATCTTGAATGGGAAGTGCACCATTACCACCAGGTTTTCGTTTCCACCCAACAGACGAAGAGCTGGTCGGATATTATCTTAAGAGAAAAGTAGAGGGGCTTGAAATAGAGCTTGAGGTTATCCCAGTCATTGATTTATACAAATTTGATCCATGGGAATTGCCAGGTATTCTTAAATTTCATATTTTCAACAATACTTGTATCTACATACGAGGCATTATAGTTTACTAGAATCGAACATATGATGCAGAGAAATCATTCCTACCGAAGAGAGATATGGAGTGGTTTTTCTTTTGTCCACGAGATCGAAAGTGGCCAAATGGATCGCGAACAAATAGAGCTACCAAAACCGGGTACTGGAAAGCCACTGGAAAAGACAGAAACATAGTGTGTCAATCAACTCCATTCACTGTTACAGGATGTAGAAAGACCCTTGTTTTTTATCGCGGAAGAGCTCCACTTGGAGATCGAACCGAGTGGGTCATGTATGAATATCGACTCAATAATGACTCTGATCTCTCATCACCTTGTTTTCAGGTAAATTTATTACTTGTGTGTGTGTGCGCGCGCGTGTGTTATATGGCTTTAATTTGGCTGAAATTTGAGATTGAAGTTGGTTGCTTTATGGCAATTTGTAGGGTGGTTTTGCATTGTGCAGAGTGATAAAGAAGAATGAGAAGACCAGGAGTTCGCAAGAAGAACAAAAGGGTAAGGCTGCAGGAAGAAGTTGCAACAGTGGGAATGAAGAAGCTTCCATGAAGACTTCACACCATGTGGCTCCAACAGTGGCAGAGCCTGAGCAAGCTTCTTCCTTGGAGTCCATCAACCCTTCACATTTTGATGTCTCTCCTGAATTAATTCTAGATTCTTCCATGGTACTAGGAATAAAGAAGGGAACTTCATATGCATTAGCTAAGTTTCAGACATATATGAGTTCTGACTTCATTTGTTTACTCCTCCAACTCTGCAGGACTATTGCTCTGAAGTACAAGATTCCATGTCTGGATACTTTCCACAGTACGACTTATCGTGTTCAATGAATCCATGGCAACCATTCCTGCCAAGAGAAAATTCAACCTCTTCATCTTACTCAAATGTAAATGGAGAAATTGAATTTGCTGAAGATATCAATCAATTTGGCTGCTCATATGTAAACGGGCATGTGGCTCATGAAGGCTTTGATCAGATCAATTCATTCAGATATCCAAAACCGTTCTGAAAAGTTGCTATCTTTGCAGCCAAGACAATTTCAATGCCTTTGAGGTTCCAATCTCTGTGCGTCTAAGTTAGCTAAAGTTTCATGGTGTTTCCTTGGGAGGGGGATCTCTCTCTGAGACAACGCCTTTTAAAGTACGTCTTGGAGTAAAAATTACGTGCATGTGCAATCCCTTCCTAAGGACTAGATGTGTCACTCCTACTGTTATAGTGCCTGCTCTGGAAATAATCACTTCTGTCCGCTTCATCAGAAGCCGGTTTACATTCAGCCATCTATGTATCAATATCAATAAAATAAGCTAAATGGAGAATTCTATATGTGCTTGCCCTTCAACTCTGCCTACTGCTTATGGATTCATCATTACTGCATCTTGGTGCTTAAATTTCTAAAGCTCAAAGTTGAAAGCAAATTAACATGTACGTTATGCATGTGAATAAACTGGACTCCTGATTCTGCTTGAAATCAGTTTTCTCTTTAATAAAAAGAGCTGTTCAGCCAAAAAAAAAAGGAAAAAAAGAGGAGATAAGATGAAGTTTACTTTTCGAGTTGACAAGACATTACCCTGTGCAGTTGCTTTGATAAGCATCTAAAACTCATTATGCCTACAAATTATTTAAGCCTAGCCTACATAAATTAGAAGCTTCAAGGAATTAGCAGTTTGAACCGTACCATAATTGAGCAGAAAACGGTTTCAATGCAATCATCATGAAAGGCAAAATAGTAGCAGTATGACTATTTGTTACCCATTATGCAGTTCTAGTACAAGCTAGCAATTTGGGGGCTGCAAAAAACTTCAACTTCTTCAAGGGTAGCCTTGGACTCGTCTCCAAAAAGAGACTCTTTGCCGTCTTCCCTCTTAGCATAAGACAATCCCAATCTAGACTTGGCTTGCCTTAGGTTACCAATGCCAGAGTTTGTATCAGGTCCTGCAAAACCACCCATAACTGGGGCCAAGGGGGGCCCAATGAGAAGCCCATCCGCCCCAAATTGTGGGCCCCCACGAGCATAATCGAAAAGAGCCGCACCACTGCCACCAACCTTGGGCAAAACAATGGGTTGGGTTTGAGCACCAGTTTCAGGCCAGTAGAACAAGAAAGCATCAAAAGTATCGTAGTAATCGTCAGTGCTTCTGTAGCCTTCAGGGTTAAAAGCCCCAAACTTGAAAGAATTGTCTGCGTAGCCGATGATCACACATGGCCCCTTGAAGTCGCAGCATTCGTGAAATTTCGTCGCGCTAAACCCATCAATTGTGGCCCTATAGCAGCATTTGAGTTCCTTACCTGATAAATTTCACAGAATTTTGAAGGTCAGGACCTGCAAGTATGAAACTTACAGAGAGAGAGAAGAACAAATAGAGAGAGAGAGAGAGAGAGAGAGGACCCTTCAAGAAAGTTTTATTGAGAAGAGAAGGTGGGAAGGTGAGATCCATATCATGATACTTAGTCTGTGGTTTGTCGTCAGCTTTGTTCTTGCCAATGTTCCAACCGAATAAGCTATAAGGGGTGCTTCTCTTCCAGCCCTGTAATGATACAGGGTTTGAGATACAAGAAGCCATTTGCACACATAACCACCAACGCTAACTTCCTGCAACATCTTATCCTTATTTTCACCCACAAAAATAGTTTTTTGAATGAAAGTATGAATCAGTTGGGAGCTGATCTAGAGGTTGCGAGTTCGAACCAGGATGAGACTTTTTTCTGTTTCTTTTCTTTTTCATTTATGGTATTAAAGATTTTTTTCCTCCCTTTTTTTGACCTTCAAAGAAAAATTTAAGATTGAAGTCCAGGTAATAAAAAAGGAGAGAGAATAAAGGTAACACAAAAAATAGAACTGGGGAGAGTAGGCAAAAAGATGATGATGATGATACAAAGTAGAAGCATCAATGAAAACAAACCTCATCCAAGGGTCTGATCCCTGTCGATTGTTCATCCCGATGAACGCCAAAGTCAGGTCAAAGGATCAAAGGTTTGAGCCAAGTTTTGCACAATGCTGCTTCTGATATTAAATACTATGACCGGTCTTTAATATAAAAACTAGTTGAATAATTTGAGTAGATTAAGAAAATTAGTTAAGTTAGTTATTTGTAATAAATAGGTATTATCTTTCCTAAAATATCCTTGTTAATCAAGTGTATTGGTTAGAATTACTATTATTACAATGACTATTTTGAGAAAAAAAAAGGACAAATATGAGAAATAAAGTGGATTAGGATCTTATATTTAGGATTAAAACAAAAGTCAAATGAGTTTTTATATTAAGAACTGAAAGTAGTATAAGAACTAGTTGATTGATTTAAATAAATTAATAAAGTTGGTTGAGTTAGTTATTTGTAATAAATAAGTGTTATCATTTTTAAAATACCCTTGCTAATCATGTATCTTAGTTAGAATTACCATTTGATGAAATTTTTAACATGTATAACTACTACAAGGACTGTTTTGAAAAAAAAATAGATAAATATGAGAGTTGAGACAAAGTGGATTGAAGTTTTATATTTAGGACCAAATTAAATATCAAACTAGCTTTTATTTTAAGGATACGATGTAGTATAAAAATTAATATAAAAATTACAACATAAAAAAAAATTGATTTGTAGCTTTTTTTCCTATCTACAGTTCAGACCAAAAATACATTTCTAATATCTAGCGCGTTGCAATTCGAAAATGAAATTGGGTAAGGTAAATGTATTGTCAATTATTGACTACTAAAATTGTGATCTTCAACGAACGATAATTAGATTTAGTAGAAGAAACTAATCCCTCAATTAAAATTAAAATTAAAATTCAGTGTGATCTTTATTCATAAGTCCCAGATCCTGACAACATATAATTCATGAGTCCAACCAAATATTTGGCTCAATTTTTTCATGATGATTCATGTAATTGAAGCAAATCGCCCTAGATAATGCATTTGCTCAGTTTTTCCTTTTCCTTTTTTAATTTTTTTTTTTGGTTACAAGCGTTTGTTGAATTCGTAGCATCCTATAATTCGCATCTATTGGGATATCTATTGGATGCTCAAGGCCCAAACATAATTTAAACAAGAAAAAGGAAAACTAACGCTTGCCATCAATACATGGGTTGGACATTTAAGCTATTCTGGGCAGCTTTCTCAAAGGAACTATCTCGTTGCAATGCTTTGTAAATTGTAACAAACAGATCTTAATGGTTCTGTAAAGTAGTTTAAAAAAAAAAGAGATCCTAATTCTGAAGTATCTTAATCCGCAGACGCCCTCGATTACAGGTGCTCGCTGCTCAGTCAATACATGTATGCATATCCCCACCAATGTACACCAAAATTCTTTTTTGGTTACCTTGAAGAAAAGTGAAAACTTCACTTTGTTTTCTCAGGAAAATTTATTTGCAATTTCTCATTGTTAGGCTCAGTGCTTTTGAATTGCATTGTTGATAAAGCCCCCTGATGGGAGCTCATTGACACTACCATCAGCCATTCCGTTATTCTGCAAGACCCCAAGAAGGAATCGAAGAACATGACTGATGAAAAAATGGATCAGTTTCAGCTGCTATGGAGGCTCACTGAGATTAAAAGAATATGTGAGAAAAGAAAGATCAAGGCCTCAGATATAGCTGCCTGATGATTTCCAGATTCTGCCTTCAAGTGATATCACCATAACAGTAACATCATCATGGTACTTCCTCCGATCTCCCTGTGGAATATCCAGCAACTCATGCACATCCATTCCTGCAGCAATCAGCATCACAGTCACCTTCCTATAAATCTCAACTCTACTTGACAATCCAGAATTTTTCTATAAATTCTTCTGCTTATAACATAATCTATATGCTCGATGTAAACTACGAAACAAGAGGAAAATTAACCAGATTGGAAATTTTATTTACCAGCTTTCTTGGCTGCTCGGATGAGTAGCTGTTCTATCAAATGCTGAGCAGGATCTCCATCTGGGAACTTCTCCATCAAGTTCTCAACTTGAGAAACCACTTCTTGATTTGTTAGATATTGATATAATCCATCAGATGAGAGGATTAAGAACTGATCTCTTTGGGTTAATCTATGGTGGTATAGTGAAGGAGAGCAGGATATATAGGGAGCAGTGCCAATATAATCATTGCGAAACATTTCCAGCACTGCATCATTCCACTTTGGCTGCAGCACCATGCAAATTATACCATCATGTAAGTATAAATAAATTGATTTAAAATACTTCAAAATTATGCATTCACAAACAAGAGAAATGCCAAATAAGCAGGATTCTATTTCAGAGTCTGCATGTGCAACAGTATCACAGGCACAATGAAATTGAGTTTACAAGACAAATGTAGCTTTTTCTATGTCAGAGGGTTGAGCTATGGCTCTCTCTAAAGCCTAGGACCTCACTTTAACCACCAGGCACAAAGTGACAATGAGAAACTGAGTTATGAACTGGTTTTCCATGTGTCACCTGAGAACCAGTGTTCATATCTGTAACACATGAATCAAGACTATGTAAGAAAATTAAGGGGAAAAGGCAACATGAGGTTTTGGTATCTCTATAGAGCATAAACTATAAGGCGAAGAGATTTGATACAAATGCATGACAATATGGAAATAAAGAATCTTAAAAGAAACCTGTTTCAAAAATCCTGCCCCAAATGCTCTGGTGACCTGAAGACGACCTTTCACTCTATTATTGACAATGCAGCGGCTATCATCAGGATGTTCGTTCTTAATTCTTATGACTTCCTGCAAAAGAATGAAGCCTCACGTTTTGAACAAACTGATACAACCAGTTAAAGAAGGGATATGTGAATGAGGTAAAGCCACTTAGCCTTGAATATAACAACTCTGAATTACGACCAACACTTAAAGAAGAAGAAATCTAAAAATTGAGCGTACCTCTTCAATGCTGGTGCTATGGTCGGTGGAAAGCTGTAATGCAACTAACCTCATTTCTTGGCCAGAATCCTCATTCTCCAACTTGATTTCGCTTTCATATCTATCTATGAATTCCTCGTTATTTACCTCACATCTCAATTCATCAGTAGACTTCAACTCTCTGGGCTTATATTGTGCGACAATGGCTCGGCTATCTCCCACGTTCATCACGTAGACATCATCGTCCCTCATTAGAACAACTAAAACACACGACCCCATTAAAGCAAGTTCTGGGTTTGAATCAAGAAGCTTGTCCGTCAGGTCCAAGTAAGCAACTTCTGTGGCTTCAAGAGCCCGACACAAAGCCCTCAGTACTAAATCATGATCCACGGGTCCCACCTTCCGCTTCCTTATTCCTCCACCAGAAGACTTCTCTTTTTCTCTGTCAACCTTCTCTTTCGCATGTTGTGCGGACGGTGACAACTTACCACCATGGACCCTCTTATGTTTTGATAATCCATGCTTCAGTTTTGATAATTGCCACCGTCTACTAACTTCTGAGCCCGCGTTTCTAATGTTGATTGCGTCATGGACGGAAAATGCGAATCTTTCTGAGCCTGAAAGATCAAGACCATCTTCATGATCGTCTTCTTCAAGAAATTCCCATAGCCTGCGTCGTCTACTTTCAGTTCCTTCAGCTTGAAACATTTGAGGATTCGAATCTTCTAAACATTCTGAAATTTCACCCTCCGTTTTGACCTCTGCCCGGGACTTTCCCATTGAGGTTTCAGTTTCCACGCCAATTGCAAGCAATGGATTTTCAGAAGCTGATGGGTTAGTTTCCTCTGCCTCTTCAACTTCCCAGAACAAACCTTTTAGTTCATTATAAACAGCACGATAAAGATGGCACATTAGAAATTCCGGCGCGTCAGGGCCATTGAAGCCGTCGTAAATCCCGATGAACAGCCAGCCATGTTCTTCTGATACAACCACATGTACCCGATCCTCTCCTGCTTTACCAAGCGCCCACTGAACATGACTCTCACTCTTCATCTCCGGCTTATCTTCATTCGGCGGAACTTCCTTTCTGCCCACGAAATTCAACCCCGGAATGGCCCGATGAAATGCCTTACGCAACCGTGGAAACGCCCTCTTCCGCTTCTTTTTGATATAAAAGCCGCCCAGAGGAGCCGAAAAAGGGACCTCACTTTCACTTTCTGTGGTGGCGTTGTTTGCCTCAAGAGGCCCAGAGAGGGCACTACGCTCAATTGGACCAGAAAGAAAGTGAACCTCCCCTCTCGGTGCCGGGTGAAGCGGAAGAGCACTAAACGAAGATGTACCTTCGAACCCATTCACAATACTTCCCCTCACGTGACCTTCAGGAGCGATATCATCATTGGCTTCGTCGTAGATATCTTCCAGCTGGAGAACAGTTTTCGGATTCGAATTGTTGGCACTCACCGAAGCTCCGGAAATGGCCCTGAACCCAGTTTCCGGGCAATCGGTTCGGGCTCTGATAACAGGTTCGCCGGTGGGAGAGAAGCGGAGGGAGCTAGAAGGAGGAGAGACGAAGCGATCCGAGTGAGCGGGTGAAATCAAGCGAGCCGAAGATCTCACATAGCGGAAGGAGTGGCCTAGAGTTCCGTCCAAAGGCTCAGTTGGGGCCGAAATCTCGCCCTGCTGGTCCGTTTGGTTTGTCGTCGCCGTCCGGTTGACCGGTTCAAAGCAGGAACGAAGCTTGGAAAATCCACGTCCCATCTGATTGGCGCCACTATATGGGAAGAAAGAAGAAACTCCGGACGATTTTCAGCCAGAGTTGAACAAAACAGAGCAAGAGGAGAGGGAACAAGGAAGGAAAGCAGGGGAAGGAAGGAAGTGGCAGTAATGTAAATATATGAGTGGAAGCTGATTGAGTGAGAGTGAAGACAAAGCCACAAAGGTGTTTGTATCTCTCCATAAAATATATTTTGTTTGTTTTTGGTTTTTTCCTTTTTTTGGATTTTCTGTTTCTTCTTCTGTTTTTTTACCACTCTCTCGTGTTCTGCGTTGGCTTTGCGGGTGATGATTCCATCTGGCGCCTGGCAAATGCGGCGCCCATTTGGTGACATGTCAGATCCACATCAGCTACGTGGGACCCTTATTTACTGCGTAATTTCATAATTTGCCGGAGGATTTATGATCGCCAGGGGAGCGAGTTTTTCATGAGAAAATAATAAGGGGAAAATAAAAGGAGATAAAGAAAAATGAATGAAAAATACAACGTAAATATTCAATCTCTATTTTTTTTTAAAAAAAATTACCTATCTTTTTAAACCTGAAGGCTGAATCTTCAATTTCCAGTGTAACCTTTCAAAATTTAAGATGACAGCAAATCATGCCTCAGTCTCTTTTGTTTTTCTTTTTGAATTTTCTTTTTTTGCCATAAAATTTTCCCTGTTTTTATGCTTTCATTAAATGGGAGGTCGAGAGTCAATATACATAAAATTTAAATTTATAAAGAAAATTACGACTGCTTCTCTTATCATACGTTAGAGAAAATTTTTGGTCTTAAGTGCAAATTACTTAGAGGATTATTAGTGATTATTTTTAATTCTACTTATAATTAATTCACATTGTGAAGAAAAAAATAGAAAAACGATTTGTAAATATATATAGAAAAAATTATAAGAATAACCTCAAAAATTTTTATCAATTTAATTAACGACTTAACTATTCATTTCTTGATTTCTTAGGATTGTTGTAAAATGACTTATAATAAATTTCCAAATAGTACACTGTTTATGTACTGGCAATTCGTTTTCAACTTTGTAAACTGCTACCTCCGATCCTTAATATAAAACCTTGTTTGACTTTTATTTTGGTCATAAATATAAGATCATAATCTACTTTATCTCTTATATTTATGTATTTTTTTCCTAGGTAGTCCTTCTAATAATGGTAGTTCTAACCAATATACTTGATTAGTAAGAATATTTTAAAAAAGACAATATTTATTTATGACTAATAACTAATTTTATTTATTTTTTAATCTCTTTAAATTAATTAATTAGTTTTTATAATTAAGACTGGAAGTAGTACATGAATACCACATCTAGGTTTAGTCAAAAGAAGTCAACAAAGAATTAGTGGTAGTCTTGAAGAAATAAAATGATTTGACTTGACCAATATACGACTAATAAGACCCAAAAGCCAGTGGGAATAGGAAACATATTTTTTTATTAATGAAATTTAAAGGGATCATCTTATTAGATTTATGTTCAAAGTACTGTTTTTCAATAATAATATATACTCTTGGTCATATTTACAGAGTAAAGTGATAAGAAATGTTTTTATACTATTTAAACGACAAAGATTGAAAATTTTCATATAAACATACAATTTTACCATTGATGTATTATTATGTTGATTTTATTCTCATGAGATATACTGCCTCCAGTCTTTAATATAAGACCTTGTTTGACTTTTATTTTGGTCCTAAATATAAAACCCCAATCCATTTTATCTCTCATATTTATATATTTTTCTCTAAGGTAGTCTTTCTAGTAATAGTAATTCTAGCAAATACATTTGATTAGCAAGGATATTTTAGGAAAGACAACATCTATTTATGACTAATAACTAACTTAACTTATTTTTTTAATCTCCTCAAATTAGTTAACTAGCTCTTATAAATAGGACCGCAGGTAGTATTATATATTAAATAGAGATAAATTTAAAAAATTATTAAATTTTAAATGAAAAATAACAAAGTTTAAAATTTTTATTGATCTATGTTAAATATGTTAAAAGTAATTGAAATAAAACTAAAGGAGTAATAAATACGTGATTCTTGCATATAAATGTAATTTAAAGATAATTTTAATTCTATTGACAATACAGATCATTTCTCAAATTCTATCAAACATATAAAGACCAGACTTAATTTATAGTAAAAGTCTTAAATTTGCAAATAATTTTGAAGAATGTAAAAACCAAAACTTATAACTACAAGAGAAAATTGTATTTCAAGCGTCATGGTAAATTTCTTTTTGCTTTTATCTTTCAAAATAATTAAAAATTTTAAGATCTTTTAGGACAAGTATCTTTAAGTAGTGACTTTTATTTGTAGCTTTTTCGTTTCTTAATTTTCCCAGTGTTTGTAGCTTTTGACCCTAAATAATGGATTTGAATTTATTTCAAATCAGTCACTTTTTGTTCAGCTTCTCCCCCATATCTCTCCCTAGTCCTCTCACACCCAATATATTCCTTTGTTCAATTTATTTGGCTCTCTGTCTCTTGTTTTAAAGGTTTCCATTCTCAAACAAATTGAATTTCTCCATCAATTTGATTCAACTTTCACTTTTTCTTGATGTCCATGATAATATGGAGCTTAGAGTTGTGATATTTACAAAGCTTTAATGGGACCCATATATTGCATAAAACTAAAATGATAAATTATTCTATTCATAATTTATAAATAATATTATCTCGGTATAAGAACTACATAACTAATTTATAAATATTAATAAAATTAGTTATTTGTGATAAATTTGTGTTGTCTTTCTTAAAATGTCATTGCTAATAATGTCTAATGGAAACATTTTAATATATGTAATCAACATGAAAACTTCTTTAAGAAAAATTAAATAAATATGGGAGATAATGTGAATTTGAGTTTTATATTTTGGACAAAATTAAATCTCCAACTATTCTTTTATTTAGAACTGGAGGTAGTACAATTTGATACATATATTATATATAGATCCATATGAACTAATAGGAGATTATATTTGTTTATAAACATAAAGTCCTAATTAACTTTATTTTTTATATTTATGATCTGCTCAAACTAATTTACATAACGTATAAATCAATGTATAACTTGAACAATAAAGGATTAAATTTGGGGCTTTTTTAATGAAATTTGAATCATCAATCTACCATTGTAAATTAAATTAGAAAGAAATAATGTGCCATAGCAAAGCAAGTTAATTTAATTCATGCAGTTGGAAAAGGCTCACAAATACTTAAATTGCGTTTGAAATTCCAAATAATACCAGCCTCTTTCTTAGCTTTCATTATTTTTTATTTTCATATTACATAGGTAATTTAGTCAAGACAAAACACTAACACATACTTCTCTAATCTTATTTATAAGTTACTTTTAACATGTTTTACGTAGACAAATAAAAACCTTAAACTTCATTAATTCTAATTTAAAATTAAAAAATTTTCAATTTTATTTCTATTTAATATACAATATAGCTCATGAGAACAAAATCAACACAATAATAAATAAAAAGATAAAGTTGTATATTTATATAAAAATTTTCTCTCTCTGCCCGATAAATAGGATTAAAAAGTTTTTTCTCTCTCTACTCTATAAATAATATAAGAGGAGTAATTGCTACTCCTTAGAATAAATGAAACCGTTTGACTGAAATGGATTCAAATTATAACCAAAGACAAAAGAAAAAAAAAAGACAATCATAATTTGTAAGCAATCTTTTTGTTTTTTTAAATACAAGGGCCCCGGGGCTAAGTTGTGCATATGAATAGATTAATTTAGTTAGTCAAATTTAACATCCGACCATAGCAATTCCCATATAAACAATGGGAAGGGAATTTGAAGCTTCAAATCTTTATTATGAGCACAATGAGTTAACCAATATAATTGGCACAAGCATTGCCTATTTTAATATGTTAGGTTGAGACTACCTAATCGTGCATTAAGAGCTCTCTTATCATATTAATTAGAGAAAAAAAATATTAAAAAGAGCATCAAACTCACGATTTTTCACTTACAAGAAAACTTTCGTGCCATTAAATTGGAATGTGATTGGGAGCTCTCTTGTCATATTAACCAATGTAATAAAACAAACATGTACTTGATAATCATTTTGTGTAGTTTGCAAAAAGAATTTTGTAATGGCAGTTTTCTTCGGGTAAAAGTAAGAGATGAAGAAGGAAAGAATGGAAGATGCGAAGTTCTTCTTAGTCTGTTTTTGCTAACAAAGTTAATATTTTTTAAGAAGGAATCATTAAAATAACACATATTTAACCGCAGCACAATTTTAAGAACCACAATAGTTTCAAGAAAATACTTTTTAAATCCTTAACATATGACTTAATTGTGAAGTTATTTTAATCCTAAATATAACACTTATTTTTTTTATATTTATCAAATTTTTTTCCAAATTATCCTTAATAATACTCTCTCAATAATAATCTTAATAGAGAGATTTATGATATTAAGAAAGATAGTTAGAATGTTTTATAAAAAACATATCATATTTATTATAATTAACTAACTCAACTCACTCTTTTAATTTAATCAAATTACTTAGATAGGTTTTATAATAAGAGTAAGAGAAGTATATTTTAATCTGTCGCAAAAAAAAAAAAAAACAGAGAGAAGTATATTTTAAAACAAATATACCCAAGAATTGTATAGTTTTGTTTTGCAAGGGAAAGACGAGCTATCTCAGATCTTAATAGAAATCCATGTTTTCATGCCAATTACTCTTACTACTGTGTTCGCCAACTGCAACTTGACTTTTTTCCAATTAATTAGGAGGTATACTTTGATGAACTTTATTTTTGTATATTTAATTAAGAATAAAACTTTATTACATTCTTAAATTTGGATTCCCAACAAGGTTATCCAACTAAATAATTGAGTAACATGACGTACTCTTTTGGTCCTATTATTTATAAGTTACTTTCAGCATGTTTCAGAAAAATCAAGAGAAACTTTAAACTTCATTAACTCTCATTTA